AGAGAGAGAGAGAGAGAGAGGTACTGGCTCAGAGTACATTGTGATGTAGGTACAGTGGTTCAGGAGTGATTTAAATTCAAGATTTGTCTTCCTTCATATATATATATGAAATGGAAGAATCTTTTATTGATATACGTACCACCCTGCCATGATGATCTATAATAAGTTACCCTACTTTCCTACTCCATCGAAGAAGAACAAAAAAGAATCGAAAACCAAATAAAAATGGCACTACAGTTCCAACATGAATGGTTGCGGGAGGTGAAATGGTTGCTGAAAGGTAGTTAAAACGAACTTATTTTATTAAGTGTGAATGAAGATGATTATTTCAAAAAAAAGGTACAAAGAGATCAGTTTATTACATTTAGAAGTCAGAGAAGTTATCATCGGTTTTAATTATCATGAAAATGAATCCTTAAAATGCAGTGCTCAAAAAGGAGTGTGGATATGTCTTGTTAATAAAATACCTTTTTTTATAAAAACAAAATTCTTGTTCTATACCCCCACATCCTCAAATTCCATTTCGTGTATTAATGTTATCATAATTTAATGTGGCCATCATTGGACAGAAATATTGCAGAACATCAGTTCGTCACTTGCCCTTTTTTCCTTTTGCCCTAGATGGTGCAAAGAAGCCTATTGATCTTAACAATCTTAAATATTTTAAAATCATAAAGAATTTGCAAAATGATAATTACGAAAAAAGATAGCGAAGACGATAAACTTAATTGGATGTGATGAATCTTGCTATAATAATGTTATCTTTATAATAATAGATTTTTATTTCAAGTTAAACTTTAAATTAAATTATCTCATAAATTATAAAATGTCACCTTTCCTCATTTTCCTTTGAGTCCCACATTTATTGAGTACTAATTATATAGGTGTGTTAACTAACATATAAATGATAATTCATTTAGAGTGGAAAAAAGTACGGAGGTCGTTTCATAAATAATCCAGAGTTTGGCAACACTGCCGGCTGAAGGACGAGACGGTGCTAATTGTTTCGTCACTTATAGTTCAAAGTTTGAGCAAGAAGCACATTTCTCGGTTTCATCAGTAACTTATTTCGTCGTTTAATAACGGGGCTTAGAAATGAGGCCTGCACAGGACTCAGGTACTGTGAGTGTTGAGGATTTAAGATCGTTCATTAAAATCGGAACTTTAGAGGGCTTAACATAAGAACTGGATTGAAATATAGAAAGCTTTAAGTGCAGGATACGAGTCTTCCGTTGAGCCAGTCCATTTCGTGAAGGTCGTGTGAGCACAAACGGCGACACAAGACCGGAAAGACCCAGAAACTCGACAGATGAATGAAGTGTGAGACATAGGCAAATGTTATTGAAAAAGATTGTCATGCGACATGTGAAGAAACTTCTAAAGCTACAGGGAAAGTATTAACGTCCACATTTCGAATACAGTCAAATTATTGGTACTGAAAATGCACAAACCCCAACCTAAGTTGCTCGTGTCTGGGCCACTCATTCTCCACGACAATGCTCACCCACACAGAGCTGACGTCGGGACAGAAAATTATCAGGATTATTGTTGGAAATTGTTGCAACATGAACCCTACAGTCCTGACACAAGTCCACCAGACCTTAGCGTATTCCCAAATTTGAAAAAATGTGAGAACAATTTTTTTTATTTCTTGATTAGCTTTCTGCGGCCGTTACCAGAATTATTCGCCTGATAAACAAAGAACGGGTATTTGATAGAATTCTAAAGCTTCCCAGTCAGTAAAGTCAGCGACTCTGTAATCGAGAAGAATATAGACTACTATGTAAGAAGAATTGCAAGTAGATTTTATCCAAAAAAAATTAAAATGTAAAATATTGTGCATTATTTATGAAATGAGTTTCATACATCGCTGTATTCTCCTCGGTTAGATAAACAAATGTTTTCTACGATTTTTCTCAGATACTCTTAGTTTCTGCTCCGCAGTTTCTCCACGATTCTTCTTCTTCTTGTATAACGCCCAGAAAGTAATGCTTACAGTGAGTCGACGCTCGCTGGATAGTTATAGATAGAAGAAAAAATATTTTTTGGATGAAAACGAAGAAAATCGACAATTGGTGGAATTGAAGAAATTGGGTTGAAAATCACGACCGTCCTCTATCACGCGAGGTTCTGCGATAGCACCTGATATTAAGTCGTCAGAACTGCCAGCAGGTCGTCAGAATTCCAGTACATTCTCTTCCCAAAAATACCAATAATGACCTCCCAAAAGTACGACAGCGATTCGAGTCTTGGAAATGCGCGTAAAATTGCAGTGATTTACAGACTGACGAAATCGAAAAATGACATACAGTACTTTTTACGAGGATCCAGAAGTATTTCTGAGACAAAATGGTACAGGAATTATTTATTGCTATTATTATGAGCAATATTCTGGTGTGTTTTTTTTCTGAAGTTACTCACTCTACGTATTTCAAGAGAAATGAGGCTGCACAATACTTATTTAAAACATGTATGTAAAAAACGAAATATTTTCCAGGGTCACTCCGTGTTGTGAAGTTACTTGGGGACATCAAAAATATTGTACGAAAGTCCAATTTTAATCAATGTAAAGATGAGACCTGGCATAAAATATAATTATAAAAAACTTCAAATACACAAAATAAATATTTAATAATAAAGAAAAATATTAAAAATTAAAAAACAATGGAACAATTAAATAAACTAGTTGCACTATATAATTAATTTTAATGCTTATCTGAACGCTGAATAATGTATTAGTATTTTGTTTCAGAAACATAGTAACAAGAAAAAAAATCATGGGCCTATCTCAAAACACATCACTTTTCACTATACTGTATTCTCAAAGACAGAGGTTATATGCAGTTCTAATTCTAATCGTTTATGCATGGTCATGTGCCTAATATGTGGTTTACAGATCATTTCGGTAACTTGTATCATTCTTGATGTAGCAATTTTCACAAAAAACAGTGTGAAATTAATTGCTTCTTATTATGCGAATAATTTTTTGAGATCGTACGGCGTAATATTTTTGACTTTTCCAACAAGTATCCACTTAACCCCCCTCCCATTTCCCAAAGCTAGTTTGCAACCAACACTTCATAATGTGGCCATAGTTGTTCTGAACACTGTACATGCTTATTGTGCAATATAAATTTCCATTACAAAATAGTGCTATATTGGCATATGCTTCCTTATATTGTTTTCGCTGTTACATAACATCATAAGATTACAATTTGAATCCAACAAGTACTTGAGTGTTCCTGACTTGAAAAGCCTTCAATAAACAAAGCGTAAATAAATTAATGTAAACAAAATGTAAATAAATTAATTGTGCTGGCTGGGATTTGAACTCGAGCACAAACTAGCACGAGGCCACATGCACACTCAATACGCTAATGCAATTATTCTGTAGGCAAATTGCTACAATGGTTTATCCGTATATAGAAGTATCCTGTATTTAGAAGCGCACTTTTTCTTTTCGAGCAAAAAATGTAAAGAAACAATTTCCAGCCATTTTTTAATGTTGAAAATATCCTAGGGGCTTCATATAAAGTCCTCCAAAAACGAAAAAGATCCGTTTCAAATGTGCACAACCTGGAGCTTCGCCATATCGATTGGGGAAGACTCATTTTGAGGAAAATTCTTTCTATGGTTTAAGCACTAATGATGATCATAAACAAGGGCGGGCGGACGGACAGACGTGAAAATAACACTTTTCCAGTATAAGAGATACAAATGTATACTTCCGTCATCTCGGCAATCACATTTACAGATTTATATATATTTTTCTCTTCTACTTGCATACTGTATTCCGTATATACTAGTATATAAGAAACTAAAAAACATCAGAATTTAGAAAATGGTCTAAATGTTTTGAAAATGCTTTGGGGTGTTCACATTATAAATGAAAATCAAGTGCAGTGATTAAATAAATGCTAAACTCAATTAGGTAATTGTTCTTTTTTATGTGCCAGAAATGTCACAACAGAGGTCGAAAACTCTCATGCAGCCTTCAAGTGATCCAGTAAGTTGCCAACCACCTGATTATTCTGGACACGTAAGTACAAACTCAATGTTTAATGATGTACCTTTTTAGTACTGAATGTCCACAAATTAGTGTTCATGTATAAAAAGATTTTGTATAATACGATTGAATCAAATTAAAAGCTGTATTGTATCAAATACTTCAGGTCTTCAAACTATTAGAATCTGCCCTGTGATCGCCACTGAAAGCAGATTTAGCAACGTTTCCCTATGTTTTCTATTGATTTCTGAACTCTTCTCAATTTTCCAAAAGACTTCTCAGATTGCTTTCAATTTTATTTTTAAGCCTTTTTTTCCTCAACCTATTACAATATACTATCTGACCCAATATAAAACCCCGCCAACTATAAACATATTTTATTTTCAAACCAGGTACAATTGATACCACGAGGTTTCAATTAAAACCTCAGCTGGTAGTCGATATTTTCATTTTTTAAGTACAGTAGATTCCGTTGTAAGTGGTCCCTAATTGTTCCAGAGAAAATTAGCCATTAATAAAAGTATTCACTTTATAAAGGTCAAGAGAACATGGGCAGAATATCTGTTCTAAAATACTATTTACAATGATATAAAGTAGGCTCTACACATAATGTGAGTAAACAACTTAATTACACCTAGACCGCAATGCGCCGCAAACTTTTCTCAATACGCACTTAACACGCGCTCTTACACAAAATCATTCACATTCCAGAAATTGTATTATCTTCTTCTTTTCATATTGTTTGTTTGTTTCCATTCCCTTAGAATATTATATATTATTCCCTTAGAATAACTTACTCTCCTGTTAGAGTGTATCTAACATCTGTCAATGTCACATTTATTACAATATTACGGATAAAATTTGTACATTCCTATTGGATTGTCCTATTACGGTTCTGGACGTAATATTGCATAATAGCTTCTTTGTTTAAAATGCTTGCCAATTTTTCTCTCACTAGAGATTGTCCATAAATAACGTAAAGCAAATTTGGGGTAATTTTGACAACTTCCACCCCTTGTAACGCACCCGCAAAGCGAGCATTTACGTCAACCTCTCCTCCTCATTTTTTATAAGCAAAAATAAATTATAAAACAGTACAACCATTAGTCAACCATTCGTTATTCCAGTGTTTTATGACAAAGCATTTGAACATTTTCCTGATATCAGATAGTGTTTCTCTTACATTCGTTTCAATAATTGGGATTGTAGTCGCATTGTTTCGTTACCTTCAATTCCTTTATGTGCAAGGAGCCAAGCGAGCGATATGCGAAAACAATTAATACGATGGTTGAATAGATGTTTTTGTGTTAATAGGATTAATGGGTTTTCCTAATATCTACACAGTCCACTCACATTAATGTGAACACTCGTCAAAATCCTGAATAACCCGTTTGTGCTGAGCGCTGCAACACGTGCAGGAAGAGAGTCAATTAGGTTCTGGATGGTACCGGCAGGGATATAGAGCCATAGAGCCATAGAGCCTACAGGGTCGTGGCCAGCTGCGCTAGGTTCCTCGGTTGCGGATGCATGGTGCGAACAACCCGATGGAGATGGTCTGACAGATTCTCGGTTGGGTTTAAATATGGGAAGTTTGGGGAGTACTGAAAAATAATCCTGGTGCTCTTCGAGCCACGCACGTACATTGCGAGCAGTATGACACGTTGCATTGTCCTGCAGATAAATGCCGTCTTGCTGAGAAAACGATCTGCATATAGGGGTGGACATGGTCCCCAGGGATGGATGCGTACTTCTGTTGCTCCATTGTGCGTTCTAGAATGACGATGTCACTCAGAGAATATCACGAAAACATTCCCCACGCCATCACGCTTCCGCCTCTGGCCTGGATTGTTGCAGGGTTGTTGCAGGGTGTTTGCGTTCAAATGTTTCACGCCGTATACGCCAACGACCCGACCCCATCTGCCCGATGGAGCAGAAAAGTGGTCCATCTGAAAACGCCACCAGTTGCCACTTAGTGGACGTGTCCAGTTGCGGTATTTACGTGAAAATTCCAGCCAACGAATACCAGTCAGGGAAGGGTACATAAGCAGGGGTCTGCTGAGAAGGCCCATACGCAGCAACGCCGTTCGCTGAACGGTTGTCGAGGAGACCCTGATGGTAGCCCCTTGGTTCATCTGGATGTCAGTTCCTCTACAGTTGCATGTCTGTCCGCCCACACACATCTTCGCAGCCTTCTTTCTCCCATGTCATTCATGCCCCGTGGTGAACCAGAGATACCCCGGTGGCGTTTTGGATATAACCGTTTTGCCAGGTACGGTATACTTTAACCATGGTGGCACGCGAACACTTTACGAACTTAACCGTTTCGGAAATGCTTTCAGCCTCACCCCGAAAGCTGATGTCCATGCCCTTTTGGACGTCCGATTATTCGCTCCGTTTCAGCATTACCACAACTACTTGACTGTTTTCTGCATCCACCTGAAACGCTTTATATACCCTCCAGTGTTAGTGCTTCCTCTTGCCGTCTGTGAGGGGCCGCACATAAGCAGTGGTCATATCAATGTGACTGGATTGTGTATTTTGAATGGCACTGAGAGATATCCTATAATAAGAATATAACAATTATTTTGCTTCCGACATTTACGTTGCACATTTTAATGGTTTTGACAACTATCCATGCTTCACATGGGGTAAGAAACAATCGAGCAAATGATACGAGAATGCATTGGAAGGGACAATTATGAGTACTGAATTGACAGCTTTTGACTCACTTTGGATCCATCCGTGTAAATTTCTTAATAATGTTCATACTCACGAGTGAACAAAGAGATTATAATGGACCTAACTGACTTAATTGAAATTGGAGATTTTGGTACTTGGGTATGTGTCATGTAACAATCTGATTTGAAATATTGTCAAGGGGGAATAGGGCGAACACAACTAAACAAAATGGATGAATTGTCAATATTTAATTCTTGGTATTTTGGTAGTCATTCCCGGATGGTTTAGAGTAGTTAGAATGAACTAAGTAATATTCTTGTTTGGAAGGTCTAAAGATCTTTTGTTTTGTTATTTTAAGTCGCATCAACATCGAAGTCATTAGCGACCACTATTGGATTTAACGTTATGGTATGATATGGTGATGATAGAGAGTTGAAAGGACAAACACAAATACAAAAAAATGCCCGAAGCGGAACTCGAACCCGTGATCTTTCGATCCGAGATCACTAGAGCACTATTGCCTTTACGATCTCGGCCTCCAGACCGGCTAAACGATATATTTGTTTCCAGGGTTAAGTGGGGAATGGAAAGTGAATATAAAAAAAATGGAGCGTAATATTTTGCGGCGCAAATACAAGGGAAGCAGTCCAGCCTCAACAATAGGTCTACTTCTAGGGCTGCATCTGAAAGCTCCCTCGCGTAGAAGGCTAGCAGTATTGATGATAGAGTAGAGCATTTTCAGGGATCGATTGTTTGCTGAACTGTATTTTACTGATCCATAATCGATTCTGGGTTGGATTAATGCTCGATTAATTAGGCACTACTGTTGTTCACCCGTAGTTTCTTTTTTTCGAATAGAGCAAAGAACGCTTATAAAATGGCGCAGGTTCCATTTTTTACTGACCTGTCAGAATTTTCGAAAATTACGGGTTACAAATAATGCAAAAACGTGTGTGCTGTTGTAGCATAACTAGATTTTTTAATATACTCGATTTTCAACTATCATACCGGAGATTAATTAATTTAATTATGAATCAGTAGATATGTATCAATGTCTTGGGAACACGGAATATCACAACAATTTGTCAATCGTATTTGCTCGCTTCCGAATCTAATGTAATCAGCTATCGCAAGCGAAAAGGATCCAACCAAACATAACTCTTCCCAGGTGATGTTACAATCCAACTCTTTCCATGTGGCAGTGAGTGATAACTGTTTAGCTACCGGATCATTCATAGTATAGTCGTATCTATCACGCGTCTCGTAGCCACTATCAAGCGTTCGAGAGGAAGCAGAATTCATGAGCATTTGCTGCAGCTACGACAATTTTCGCCAATCATCGCGTCGCCTCGTGTCTCTCGTCGCCGATGCTCACCACTTTCGCAGCGGGTACAGCCATAGTGAATTCGTGTCCACCCCTGGGATATGCATTGTTATGACAAAATGCAACATAAACATACATACACGCGCGCGCGAATAAACACTGCGTTATAAGTGTCCTGTGTCCGCGTAGAGCTATTTAATAGTCGATTAGGGAGGGAGAGGGGAAGCAAAGTATTGGCAGAATTTCCTGGAACAGCTTTTGAGTATTAATCATTCGGCAGCTTGCACACTAGTTTCAGAAACGACCTTTAGCCAATCTGGCCGTGAGCCTCCGATTCATACAGAGGTGACCAGAATGGCGTCACAACTTCTAACGGGAAAATGTTGGGTGGTATAGTGTCCACGTAAGCGTTTTCTAGAGCTTTAGTAGTTTTACATCCTCCCCTTACTGCGTACTTACGTAGTAAAGAGTGAGTACTGTAATGCTGCAGCGTAAAGTTGAGATATTTTACCAGGAAACTCGTATTGTAGGGCCCTGATATCGAAAAAGATAAATTTTGTTCCCGTCCTTATAGAATAATCTAGAATAAACCCCGTCCTTATAGAACAATTAACCTGTGTCCGTGGGTTCGACCGTCCATCTGCCCGGTTAGACCACTTCCGGTCCACCGGTCCATCCCAGCCACGGTTAGACCACTTCCGGTCCACCAATCGAGACAAATGAGGTGTCGATCGACGAGTTTGTCACCTGATGGAGGTCGGATCATTTTTTGCGAATCCACCCAGAAAATTTTAAGCAATTTCTCTTCAAAAAATACATTTTTTTTATTTTTTAAGCAAACACGCATTTTTTTAAAAAATTTTAAGCGATCTCTAAGGCAGTAGTCTCGTGGCGATCTCGGATCGAAGGATCGCGGGTTCGAATCCCGCCTCGGGCGTGATGTATTTTTAACCATTCTTTCACTCCTCATCATCATATAACTTCATTAAAGAAGTGCTAATAATTCCCTGCGCAATCAGGAAGCCCTTGCCTTTAATGGGATGTGCAATTGGCTAAAAAAACAGTCTTCAGGAATCAGATGATGTTAAATGTAACACACCTCACCGGGCATTCTGAGGAGTAATTGATAAACAATTCCTGCGAAATTAATAGCCACCGGAAGTACTAGCTTTCTGCCTAGGAGTTATGCTGCTCAAATCATTCAATTGTCAGCACTGTTTCTCTTAGGGTATGAGAGAAAACTGCCTGAACGGAAAATTTTGTACCACCCACAATCACAAACTATTTGACGATCATTCACTTTCAATGTACACTAATATTACGCAGAAAGAAAGAAAAGTACGGGGAGCTGAAATCAACCTAACTTAAACAAGTACATACATTGCAAACTTATGAAAATGGAAAATCATGCGAGAGAGTAAATTTAACGATAAACATTGTTTTCTAGAGAAACTAATAAGTACTTCTCTTTCAACTACTTAAAATAATTATTTTAATTCTCCGTTCACGTTTACAAGCAGCTATTGAAAATCTATTGATGTAATAAATAGTTGAGTGTATGACTAACGACTGGCGCGAACATGCAACCTTGAAGGTAGTATGTTCGATAGATCGACCACGGTGAAGTACTCTCCAAAAATACTTTATATGAAAGCAAAATATCTGTTCTTCAATATAGTAAGAAAACAATTCACCCTTACCGGCCTATTTTTTTTAAATAAAAGGAGTTTAAATTAGTACAAGCTCTTATGGAAAATCTTCGGAAGCATAGGTTGTTTTTTTTTTAAGTTATTGAAGAAGTTATACGGTGAACGTACTTTTTTCTTCTACTTAAAACGTAATTTTTTTTTAGGAATCATATAGTATTAATATTAATATACGAATACCTCACCAAGCATTCTGAAGAGAAATTGATAAAAAAAAACTGCTCCGAAATTCATCACAACCGGAAGTACTGGCTCATAACCTACGAGTTTTGCAATACAAATCACGCTATTGTTTGTACTATTTCTCTTGGGATACGAGAGAAAGCCATTCTAACTTAAAATTTTGTTACCCGCACAAACACAAATTATTTGACGTTAATTCATTTGTAAACGATCATTTCAATGTAAACAATGTGAACTAATATTCAACGCAGAAAGAAAGAAAGAAAGAAAGAAAGAAAGAAAGAAAGAAAGAAAAGCACGGGCGCCGAAAAGCGACGGGGGGAGGTGTTCCCTTTTCCAGCATGTCCCCGGGCTGACTTATTTACCCGTCACCCTGACACCCTGTATTCTTTGTTGCTGTTTTCTTTTCTCTCTGTACTTGGCGCGACAGCCCGCGAATGGGCCAGGGCCAACCAGTAGCGGCCCAGCCTCGCGGCCATAGGTTAAAGGGGTAGTGCGTGTGGTTAGAACGAAGACATCCCTACTCCGTATTCTGGACTTCTCACACCGAGAAGTGATTTTTCTAATCATCGCACAGCAAAATGTACTTGAAAGGAAAACGCACACTATAATCTTGCCCGACCCGGAATCGAACCCGGGGTCGCGTCATGGAAAGCGTGCAATATGTTACATTAATTACAATCTCAAAATACGCGCAAACGACTTTTTTAATTGTACACGTGTTTTTTTAATGAGTTGATTTTCAGAACAGATTTTGTTTAAGGCAAAAATCTCCATTGTTGATTCCGTAGATTTTAAACGTCAACTTTTTTGCAATTTTCAAAAATAGAGTTCGTCGAAAACGGGACTAGGACGATTTTTTTACCATCTCGCGATAGTACGAGGAGAAAATTTAAAGAAAAAAATTGGAACTGGTTTTGAGAAAAAAATTGTTTAAAAAATTAAGAACTACCTGCATTTCACGCACAATTACGCGAAAACATCATATTTTCGAAAAATTGTACATTATTTCAAGAACTATATTTTTATAACCGATTTCATTCAGGAAGAATTACTTATTCAATGCACTAGTTGTAGGAAGACACCGAAACAATTTGAACTTTTGCAATTTTCGAAAAATCAGGAATTTTAACGAAAGTGAGACTTGCACCATTCTCTGAAGCGTTCTTTAAGCTATCCAAAGACGAAGTTTAATCCAAAAGTTTTGTGCAATTTTTGAGAATGTTTTGAAATTGTTTTTGCGGCTTTGTGTAATGTAGTACCTCCAAAAATCAAAATATCCGTTTCAAACTTTGAGGGCATCGAGTTCCTTTTTTTGAATTGAATTGAATTTGCCTTATTTTACGTGGCGAGACTCGGGCCATCAGGCCCGCTCTTCCGTCTGACCACGCAAATTTCGCTACGCTCCTTTCACCAACTAGGAGAGAAAGGAGGTATTTCTTGGGCGAGAAACAGGCGATTTGAATTTAGCTCAGAGGCGTAATTTAGGCTTGAAATTAAGGAATATCAATTTTGAAGAAAATTGTCAGAACGGTTTTGGCACTAGCTTTGACCGCAAACATACAGAGAGACGGCCGAACCGACAGATGGATGGACAGACAGACGTTTTGCCGTCAATCCATTTTTCGGTGTCAAGGACCCACAAAACAATGATTCTGACAACTCAGAGCTTAGAGGAAGTAATTTAGCCTACTGTATTTAGGAACAAGACTTCAGTTCCACATTCTCTTTATCAGGGCCCGGCAATAAGAGAATTCCAGGACCTAGAAAAAATTCGCCGTTCCGTGCACGATTACAATAGTACATTCTTTTCTTAGGAGGTAAGGGCGAGAAAATAAAACTACACTGGAGGAAACCCAAATCATGGCCCAAAAGTGCCAGAAATTATTAATAATTTCCTGACTAAAAATGAATAAGTTGCTAAAACTGATATCTTAAAAAGTAAGTAAACTACATCTGATGTCAAATTAAATTCTGAACATTAAAAAGAACAGAAATGGGGGGGGGGGACTACCTTTATCCAGTTTTTGTATCATTGTCATGTCTTTCCTCAAAGTATTTGTGAGACATTTGGGAAACATTTTTTTTATGATACTGTGTCTAAAATAATTAGTACATAAGGATAATTAACCATGTTTTTCATGTAATGACAATGTAGATTTACTGTTAAAATTAACTTTAAATACTTTCTCTAACAAGCAGAATTCTTTGAAAATTCTTTATATTTTAAAGTTTTATTTGCTGTATCACTTTCATTAATGTTTTACATCATATAACAGATATCTGGCCACATGGGATCAGAGTACTCACCAAGTTCTCCAGATTCACTTTCTTCAGTGCCATCTCGTAGAAGTCGAACAGCTGGAGGAAGAATAACTTCTGCACCTTTGCCATTTCCTAATCCAGGATCGAATTTGACTTCAGTTATGACATCAACTCAAAGTTGTGCTCTAAATGGAGGACTAAGAAAAGAACACATTATATCCAATACAATTCCCGGACCTGAAAGTTGTGTATGAAGAGCTTGATATGTCTGAAACATCAATTCACTGGAAGTGCTAGTTAATAGTGTCTCATGAAAAATGGACCAAATGATAGTGTTATCAGAACATTGTATAAAAAATAAATAATTTTCATGAGCTCAACATTTTTTATTTCAACATAGTGAAAGTACAAATAATGCACAAATGTAGTCTTCAAGGAATACTAACAACTAGTGAGAAGAAAGAATGGAACATACTATCAGTGAAATTTGGTTACCAGTTATTGATATATAGTGTACTGTAAGAAATATTTCCATGTGAAATGCAAAGTGCTTGAAACACAACTTGCTTTGAGTTCCAATTGTACCTGAAAGATAGCCTAAGTAGCTATTTCTCATCTTTTCATGAACGTATCACTGTCAATGAACTTCTTATATGTACCTTACTTATACCAGTGTAATTTAAAAGTGACTAAGTACATTTGAAAAGTAATCAGGGATACACTCATGATTGCGATAAAGGAAATGTTTCTTAACTATTTCCGTTTAAAGTTACCCTGTTATTACCTAAAATGAAATTTCTGTGTTTTTCATTGATTTTCTCTATAAAATGAGAAATTTTCAGGTCTACAGAAATCTTTATTTTTAGTTAAATACTCTGTGTAGATGCTACAGTCTTGGAGTGAATGTGAGTAATCACATATTTCTCTGTTGGTGTGTTTCCTGGTACACTTGGGTGAGAATGTGTGTTTAAGGAGATGATATTTCCTGTGACACAACTCTTCTTTTTTCTGATGACACTGGGTTTGGTCTTGCAAGTAAATAGTGGGTCAATTTTCCATTGTTTAAACAATACAAAATACTGTGATTCTTGAGGCTTGGGCCTCCACTGCTCATGGACATGTTTGGGTCATTTATAAAAGTTTTGAAAATTGCATTGTAAACTTTTCACTTGACATTAATTTCTGAGTATGTTCTTGGCATAATAATTTTCATATACAGCCCTTTTTCCTCGCTGCAAGGGTTGTGTATAATATTTCAGCCTTCTTAGTTGCAATCTTGAATACAAATGAATTCATAGTGTTAGAGTCATTTCTTAAACATCCTCCAAGACAAGCATTTTTCATTAGGCAGTTGAAACCAATTGCTAAATCAGTACTTCATATTTATCTGAGTCAAAAGACATTCATGTTTTCAAACACGAATTTCCAATAGTTGAAATTCACTTCAATAAAAACCTTAAGGTAATTGCAATTAATTAAACAACTTTTTCCTGGATAAACATGCAATCAGATGTAATCTAAGTTTGTCACTGAGAAAACATGTTTCAAAGTAATGTCTAAATTTGTCATAAATAGACAGGATGTATTAAAGAACATAACAGTTATTGTAAATAACATTTCAGAATGAAGTGTGAGTGTTTTGATTTATTAAAACACACAATTAATGGTAGACTGTCTCAAAAAATAATGATACAAAAAGCACATGACCAAAAATCTAATAAAGATCTTGCACAAATTTACCATCATTATGAATGAAACATTTTTAAATATTTACGTAAGATCTGTAGGGAAGCAGAATCTGTTTACAGGTATGAATGTAAAACAGTAAGTATACATGGTTCAACCATTCATGGTCATATCATAAAATTGGTATGATTGTTACTATGAAATGTACAGAAACTTGTGTTTATAATTATTAAGAGAAGTATTAATATTACATTTCTTAAGAATCATGCTTATTTTGAATCATTTAGCTAACAAGTTGATCTTTGTGATATTTACAAAAACATCATCTTAAAATTTATGCATGTACCTAGAAAACAAAATACCTACATATATTCAGAAATATGTGATCATAAAAATGTAATGTCATTCATACCAAATAATATAAAGGGGAACATAAAAATTCTTTTTTATAATTCTGATTCAAGTATATTGTTCAATGCATCACTGCAAAAATGAATTTTACTAAAAATTAGCAATGTTACTAACTCATATAAAACTTCACATCACAGGCATAAAAGTTGCAGAGAAAAAGTGATGTTTTAAAACTGGTTATCAAATCAGATTCTAATGAAAGTTTATTTTTCTGCAATAAATACATAATATTAAAGAATATTATTATTTAATTATTCATGTTTGTGTTCCTTCATAATATTGCATTGCATTGCATAAATATTGAATTATTGTATCAACCCCTTTTTCCTTTTTCTCTGTAATTGCTTGTGCCTCAATTCGTTTTTGTAATTTTATTTTTTATTTGTTTATTTTTATAACTAAATTATTTTAAGAAATTGTATCACATCAAATTGATATAACTACGTAAGGTATTTTCAATTTTGACCTTAAAATATTTCTAATAGGGAGGGAATATTCCTATCCTTGAAAAAAAGTTTGTGGTGAGCCAGATATTGCAATCCTTGTAGTCGGTCAACATTGTGATGATATGATATTGACTTCAATACTGAAATTATTTAGTAAACTTAGAAAGGAAGTGACTCTGACACAACCACACCAGTAAATTTCCAATATATGTTTGCTACATATCATTGGATCCTTTTATGTTTAAACCAGCTTTGATGATTAATTGTAATAATTGAGTAGCTGACTATTAAAAGACGGCATCCGAAGGCATCTGTACAGCCACACTTTTGTGTAACAATGTATTAAGAGCTGTTTGACATCTTTCCAAATGATTATTTGAACTTTTTTACATTGGTATTTTGATATAATTTCAAAGTATAAAAATATTATAAATCACACACAGTAAATTAATACCACTAATACATGATAATGTTACATTATATACCATATATATACTATGATATATATATATATATATATATATATATATATATATATATATATATATATAATTATATATATATATAATGTATAATAAAAATATACGGAGGATTTAAGGCACTTTGCAGATTACATACCTGTAGACAAAACTAACATGTTTTTTGTGATCTAATGTAGTACAAATTTACTTACTCTCATTAAACTTTCATTTGAAAGTAATTGATAAAATTAAAACTATATTTTTGCCTCGCAATTTTACAATAACACTTTCACAAGAAATAAAATGGAAAAAGATTTTACAGGAATTAAAATAGCTTTGAAAATTTTTTAGACAAAATCATTTTGTATTGCAAATCATGAAATTTAACATTAACAATAGGGCCTACCCCTGAAAATGATTAATGAATCATTTCTACTCAGAATTTATCTAGGTACTTTTTTTACTGATATTTTGGGTTATACTTGTACAATACCCTGATATAATTTTCCTTCCAATACAAGGAATATACAAGGAAAACATTGCTAGAAGATATAAAACTCAATATTTCCTTGCATATTACCAGTAGGAATATTTGTAGTCAAAAACAAAAGAATGAATTTAAAAAATTTCATTTTAGCATAGAGATACATCTTTATGAATCAGACATGTAATTTTTTCAATTTACTTCATAACTGAAAATACTACTTTTATGATAAAGTAAATATTGGAACTATGACAGTTATTCGTCTGCTCCTAAATTTCAATATTTTGTGAAAAGAACATATATTGCAGCTTGTGTTCCACTTAAAATCTAAATTCCGACTATTTAGGATTGGAAATGGGCATCAAAATCTGTAAAGATGTATATTTCAAAGTAATTTTATTTCCATTGGTATTAAAAATCTCTTGTTTCAAGTATCCACAATACAAGAGAGGTACACCATATGAAACTATTGGAGAACAACCACTAGAATTTAATGAATTAATCTGATATTTACAAAATTATTATAAAAAAATTATCGGATGGGACATTACATTTTATAAAATCTTGTTAACATCTTCAATATACTATACTATATTTATATTTTAGTATGGTGTGTCATTTTGGGCGTAAATAAAAAAACTCTGGTGAGTTTTGCACAAGGAGATGAACAAATGTTTCTTGTATCATTTTTCTGAGAAATGATTCATTGCTGCATAGGATTTTGTTGATGTATAATTCATTAGAAGCCTTCCCTTACACTGATTCGAATCAATAACCATTAGTGCTTGATGCTATAAGGAAGAAAATGAACTTGGTTCAGATGGAATAAAAAAACATATATAGTCATTTGTGAACTTATGGAATTGAGACGCAAACAGTCCTGTCTTGAACTCAAATTCTTGTGGTGTTGCAATAAAATATTAGCTGCAACGGAAATCAAAAATTACAAAAAACACTGACTGAGGTTTGATAAGTAGTCATGCCTCTGACAGTGGTGTAGCGAGAGTGGCTATTGCCCAAGGCAACTGCTCTGTCACCCCTTACAAGTTCAACTTAAACATTTAATTATTATCGATTAGTCTATAAATATTTGCATTAAAATGAAAATAGGTTTATTATGTATTATATGTTTAAATATTTATTTCATACTAATAATAAATAGGTGTTTACGAAAAAGTCAATGACTAACAGCATCTAACTGTAATTATATTGGCTAAAGTTTACTAACGGGGAATGTACGCAGCAAGCGTACTTCATTTGTCGATATGTGTTGCCAGCTTACCAACTGTACGTTTCCACGAGGAAGATGAATTGGGTGAAGTTTGTAGAAATTGTGTAGAACGAAAAGATATTTTTAGAGTGAAAGTCGAAAAGATATGTATAGAGTCGCAGTCTCCGAGTTACGATTCTTTGGAAATGAGTTGGACAGACTCAAGGATGATTTATGTTAATCGCGTAGGTCAAAAGCCGGAGTGAAGTTTGACACGCGCAGCGAAGCGTCACAGTGCCTTTCAAATAATTTATGTGATACAATAATTAAATTATGATTTGTGTATACGACACATTTCCACTCGTGGATATTTGTTGTACATCCTTACAAAAATACACTAGTTCTCACACGTTGGCTTAATTGATCCACACTTTACATTTTTAATCCTAAGGTTGGTTCAGAGAGAGGACGAGCAAAAATGGCGTCGATTCCTGGTAAGTAAACTATATCCATAAAATCCATACTAGTTGACATTTATTTTAATGATGTTGCACCTTACGCCGTGATAACATTCAATCATTAGAAAATTACTTCATAAACTATAAAATTATCAATTAAATTCATTGGATGCAATGTTTAATATTAAAACATCAAAATAGTTAATATATTTCATAAACATTTAAACGGAAAAATTTTAGTGACACCCGTATAATGGTGTTACCCAGAATGCCTCCTTTCTTGCCCCTCCCTGACTACATCTCTGAGAACCTACTTCGAAGAACAAAACTGTAACGATATGCACTATGTCATGATGTATGTAACATATTGGTTGTAATAAATATGGAGTGTT